CGAGCCGGACAGGACCCAGCTTTCAATGCCTCGGGAAGCGGGCGGGGCCTTGACCTACCAAAGCCTACTCTTTTGTAAGGTCCCTAAACCCTAAACCCTAAATCCTAAACCGTAAACCCATATTATGATTTCTAATGAGAAGCTACAAGAAAGTAGGTTATGGTAGCTTAAGGTGTACTTCCCTACATGGGTCTGATTAGGTCCTTACCACAGGTATGAAAGCCCCTCCTCCCTACCCTCCTCACTCAGGGTCCTTATGATTCCCTCTGATACGGATCATACTAATCAGGGTCCATGCCTAAACCCTAAACCCTAAACCCTAAAACCCTTAAACCACAAACCCTAAAACCCTAAAACCCTAGAACCCTAAAACCCTACAGCCCATGCTTGGGTCTTTCTTCAGCTCCCACAGGCTCTTCCAGGTAAACTCACGGAAGACAGCTCTGCACCGCGGTCTTATACGATGAGCATTAATTAGGGCAGTTCTCTAAATTAGGGCCCCTTTTAGGATCCTTTTTATAAGAGTGGGGGACCTAAACCCTAAACCCTAAACCCCTAAAAAGGGACTCTAATTTAGAGAACTACCCAATAGCTGGTCTTGCCAAACTGTGGGCCGGGACGTTCGCGGGAAGTTTCTTCAAGCCGGGCCCCTTAGGGTTTAGGGTTTAGGGTTTAGGGGGGTTTAGGGTTTAGAGTTTAGGGGGGTTTTGGGGTTTAGGGTTTAGGGTTTAGGGAACCTGCCTATGTCCATGAAGAAGATAACACATAATATGAACCATGCGTCACTAGCCACTAGCCAGGTCATTCTGGGCCATAGGCCTTTTTTTACCAAGCCGTCTTACCATTTTGTAGGCCTCGTAGGCTTACGACTGCTTGACATGTGTTGAGATTGAGGGATCGCTGCACCGACCCCCGAGAAGCCAAGGGGCATTTTCTGTGAAAGGTATGTCCACACTTGAGGACTGCTGTCTCACTGCAGAGTTGGAAATCCTCTAAGCAACAGACACAGGTGCCGCTGCGCACCACCGGAACGGCAGGCAAGATGGAGACCGCGCTCCCTTTTGCCAGTGTCTGGTTCCCACAGGCGTAGGCTGTGTGGAAGGCGGATACATCCGCACCCAACTGCTGGTATGTGCAGGATGCCCAGATTAAGCATCGGCTGCCCTGGCTGGCCTCACTTGGCGCGCTCTCTCTAGTCCTGGAAGAAAGTCCCCACCCCGCAAAGCTGCGAAGACCTGGCAGCATATCTGCCTGAGACGAACTCCCATCGACACTCGAGCTGTCTCGATCTACGGTGCTCCGAGCGTTTGAACGGCAGGATTCGGTCAATGCATGCAACATGGACCCAAAGAGGACCACCACGCCTCCATACAGCAGCAGCATGGCCAGAAGCTTCCCATGGTTTTCGTCAACTTGCACTGCAAGGAAGGAGTCTCCAGTGTAAATCAGCACGGCCAAAGAACCCAAAGCCACCCAAGCCACGGTGAGCTTTGCGGAACCATTGCCGCAACTTCTGCGGCCCTGGAACGCACGCGCCATGCCGGTCCCGGAATGTTGGCTTACAGCCTCGGGCCGCCTGAATGCTCTGTGCTTGGAGGTTCATGAGGGTTTAGGGTTTAGGGGTAGTTATAAGTGGGAATGATAAGTCCCCTAATATAACCTTATATAGTTACCCTACTTATAACCCTACTTTCCAAGGTTGAAACCATGGGTCCGTAGTATGGGCCCTTAACCCTGGGATCCTTATACACCTACTATATACCCTATATGTACCCTTCAGGGTCCCTAGAAAGGCCCAAGGGTCCATACTAGAAGCCCATACTTCTAACCTCAGATACTTATAACTACCCATGAACCTCCAAGTGGGGGCCAGGTCCTCTTGATACAACCCCTCTGCAACCCGTGGCCCCTCGACAAGTCTAGTAGAGAAGTCCCCAAACCCTGTTCTAATTCTTGTTGAGGACACTCTATCCTAAACCCTAAACCCCCCTAAACCCTAAACCCTAAACCCTAAACCGTTAAACCCCTAAGCCCTAAACCCGAAACCCACTATTTCAATTTAAAATCGCTTTTGCACCCCGGAATCTGAGCTCGGCTAGGCCTGAAAGCCCGAAAATCACCTGAAGAAGGTCATGGGTTTCTGGGTTTCTGGGTTTAGGGTTTGGGGTTTGGGGTCTCGGTTTCAGGTTTAGGGTTTAGGGTTTAGGGTTTAGGGTTTAGGGTTTAGGGTTTAGGGTTTAGGATTTAGGGTTTAGGGTTTAGGGTTTAGGGTTTCGGTTTAGGGCTTACCCTAAGGCTCATGGACCCCCATAGGGAAAGCCCAAACCTTCGCCCCCAAAGCCCAAACCTTCCCCTAGAAAGCCCATAACAGCAATAAGAGCCTTAGGGCAGGGTTTAGGGTTTAGGACTTCCTGGTATGCTTCAGCTGCTGTATGTAGAACGCTCCGATACCTCTGCCTGAAACTGGCCATAGCACTGACCGATGGCATCCGACTTATGATTCTAATCATGCCGCATTTTTTACAATACCAGAATGGGGATGTATAAGGGTTCCATTACGGGATCTATAAGGCTTCCGTTAGGGTTTAAGTTACCATGATGAGGATATATAGCAAAAAATAGTCGCGTTTTAAAGAAAGCCTTGCAAATTAGGCCCTGGTCTCGTGCCCCTGTTACAAGAGCCCCTAAACCCTAAACCCTCAACCCTAAACCCTAAACCCTAAACCCTTAACCCTAAACCCAACCCTAAACCAGGAGAGACGCACTGCTCCAGGGGTCCCAGGTCAGAGAACTGCGGTTCATTATATAAATCCTGCATTAAACCATAATAAGGATTAGGGTTTAGGGTTTAGGGTTTAGGGTTTAGGGTACTTTAAGGCAATGCAGGATTTATGTCATCAACCGTACCTTAAACCAGAAGGTCCTATAGAACCCGTTTAAGAAACTTTAACGCAGCTTGTTGAACCGATCGCCGAGTGAAGGTCTCGTGTTCCGCGCGGCCATCGCTTAGAAGCGCTGTACATACATAATGTGGCGGCCCATGCTGCGCAAAATCCCTAGGCAACGAGCAAGAGAAGCCAGTACTGGACTCTCTCACTGCACCATCAAGGCTGTACAAGACCTTGCACGATCGTGTGGAATAACAGCACTGTAAGTAAAACGGTAGACAAATTCAAACATCGCGGGGGGAACCTGGAGGAGCCCTAAATCAGTAGACGGAACACGCATACCCGTGGCAGAGACTGGACACAAAGAGACGTGGCTTCAGATCGGTCAAATTGGCATAAACTGCGTTCGGCTTAATATCGGAGTCTTAATAATCGGAATAAGGGTTTGGTGTCTATTATATTGTAGTAATTATATAAGGAACCCCCAAAGCCCTCTTCTGATTATAAAGGCCCCTTTTTCAAGGCTTAGAGCTACGGCTTTGAGGTCTAGGCCTTGTGGCTTGTCCTGCTAGGGGTGGCGCTTTGGGCTTGGGTTTAGACTGTTGAGATTCGGACGGAGGGTTTCAGGTTGAGGGTTTAGGGGTTTAGGCTTAGGGGTTGAGGGTTTTGGGGTTTAGGGTTTAGGGTTTAGGGTTTGGGGTTTGGGGTTTGGGGTATAGGGTTAGGTTTAGGGTTGAGGGTTTAAGGTTGAGGGTTTAGGGGTTTAGGTTTAGGGGTTTAGGGCTCAGGGTTTAGAGGCTTCTCCCTTCAGGCGTCTCAGGTCTTCTCCCTTCTGGGGCTAGCCGAGGTAAGAAATCTGAAAGACATGCCTTATCCTTAGGGTTTAGGGTTTAGGGTTTAGGGTTTAGGGTTTAGGGTTTAGGGTTCTTACCCTTACCCATAACTCCAACCCGAAACCCCGCTGCCCAAGGTTCGAGGGGTCTCAGGGTGTACGCTCCGGAATCATGCGCAAGTGGAAGGCTTCAATAAAAGTCTTTAGGTAACAAGGAACATCGGCCACCCTCTCCCCATATATATATATATATATATGTATATATGTATATAAACATATTACTCTTATATATATATATATACATACACTGTTTGGGGCTCCTCTGAAAATTGGCAGCCCCTCCAGCAAATCTTCAAATTTGCTGAACTTCTCGAAGTTCAGACTTGGGACCGCTGCAATACGACTATACAACTATCAGTGGCAAGTTGAACGAAGCTTACGTCGTTCGGTTTGCACGAGCGGTTTAGGGTTTAGGGCATACAGTGGCAGCTTCTGCTTCACTTTGTGAGCCCTATGCAGCGGGAACACCTCTTCTCGCCGGAAGAGCCTTCCCGCGAGCCACATGCCCAAGCCAGCATCGAAGGGATGGTTTCCAAGCCACCACCAGCTATGCCTGAGAACCGAAAGGAGGGACCCTTCACAAGATGCTCCCCGAAACGAAGATCCGAAAAATCGCAAAGCAAACAGGGACAGTAAGGCTATCTTGGGGAAGGTCCTGTGCATACAAACATACGTACATACATACATACATAAACACATACTCACACACACACACACATACACACATATAGTTTCGTCGCACTTGATCAGGCGGAGGATGCGGCGGAGTACCGAACAGTGCATTTTACGTGGCCTGGCTGGCGGAAGAATTAATCCACGGGACTAAAATTACTAGTGCTATAATCATGTTCCGGCCTGAGGACCATGGTGCAGGATTAAATATAATAGGGTTTAGGGTTTAGGGTTTAGGGTTTAGGGTTTAGGGTTTAGGGTTCCGGACGGAGGACTGTGGTAGCAGTCGACGGGGAAAGGGGTTTTGCAGGGTGATCAAGACCAACGTGCGAGAGTACGACGACCTGTCGTCCTGCTGCGGTATGTATATACATGACATGTGCATGTGTGTTTATACCGACACCTGGATCTAAATCAATCTAAATCTATACCTATGCCTATAGTCTATAGTTTTATCTAAACCTACATCTATATCTGTGTGATTGCTTGTTGCTTTGGGTCTTCCTTTAACAGGACCCATATGGGGGGGGGCATACTAGCCAATGAACTCACACCGTCCGCAGCTCCAAACTTTCGCGGCACACAGGGCATGCACCAGCAGCCGACGAGCCGGAGAGGACCCAGCTTTCAATGCCTCACATGTGGGGCTTCTGACAATCGCAGTGCCCGAATCAAGTTTCCCTCTATTACGGATCCTTACATTATACGGTCTATACTAGGGTCCCATATTTCCTGAATGTCCCACATGCACTTCAAGCTATCCTGCTACGTAAACCTCTGGAGTGAATAGCTCTGAACGTTGGTCGTACTGGAGGAGCAACCGTCGTCCAGAATCTAAGAAGTTTCCGGAAGCAGACTCCGAAACTGTCTAGAAAAACAGCCCGCAGTCATAGCCACGAGCCGAAGCATGCTGAGTCATGTACCAAGCCTTCCTGCTACTATGCAATCTAATGAGGTGCGTCCTCAAGACCTGGTCAGATAAAACCCTAAACCCTAAAGCCCTGAAACCGACTCCAGCAGCCAAGGGGCATTTTTTGTGAAAGGTATGTCCACACTTGAGGACTGCTATCGCGCTGCCGGGTTGGAAATCCTCCAAGCAACAGACGCAGGTGCTGCTGCGCACCACCGGAACGGCAGGCAAGATGGAGACCGCGCTCCCTTTTGCCAGTGTATGGTTCCCACAGGCGTAGGCTGTGTGGAAGGCGGATACATCCGCACCCAACTGCTGGTATGTGCAGGATGCCCAGATGAAGCATCGGGAGCCCTCGCTGGGATTCTGATGGGAGCTGCGACGAACCGGCAACACATGTCCCTGAGACCAACCCCATTCGTAACTCCAGCTGTCCTGATCTACGGGATCTACGGTGCTCTGATCATTTGAGCGACAGGACCATCCTGCAAATGCCTGAATCATGATCATGGCACCGATCAGCACAAACACACTCGAAGACAACAGCAGTATAGCCAGCGGCTTACCATTGCTGTGGTAAACTTTCTCGGATGCTGAGAGGAAGGAGTCTCCGGCGTAAACCACCACGGCCAAAGAGCCCAAAACCAGCAGAGAGAGCGTGAGCTTCTCCGCATGCTCGTGGCAGCTTCTTGGTCGTTGCGAAGCAAGTGCCATGTCGGGATAAGGAAGGACGAAATTCACCGATGACCTTGCTATCGCTCCTTGGAAGCTTGTCCTGAAGCCTCGAGCCGCCAAATTGCTTTGTGGAGGCCAGGTCCTCTCTCCACGAAAAGCCCTCATGGTCTTTTGCAATGGAATGCGTAGGGCTTTTGGGTTCAGTTCGGTTCCATATCCTTTCCAAAATCACTGGTCTCCGACGTACCTTCTTCGATGGCCCGTGAGGATTCCAGGAGCCGGAACGACCCCTCCAACACCTCTACACCCCGCAAGCCTGTGAATACTGGGACTCAATCGTGACACACGAAGCTCTGCACTCCAATTCTAACACTGGAGTTTCAGAAAACGGTACCTTATTTTGGGGTCCTTATAATAGGGATCCTATTAATTAGGGTACTATATTAGTGTCCCCTATTTTCGGAAACCCCCACACCTTCCGCAATTCAGTTCACAGCCCCTCCTCCCGCTCGGAGACATCAGGATGCTCCACCCTGGGTGCAAGCGCGGAGGGTTTAGGGTTTAGGGTTTAGGGTTTCGTTGTCGAATTCTGCTCATTCTTCTATCAATGAAGTTGCTGGTGCTAAATTAGAGGAAACTACAGGCGGGGAGTTTAGGGTCTATAGGGCTTCTATAAGGCTTCCATAAGGTATATAGACCTTCTATAAGGCTCCTATAACGGTAACTACCCACCTGAAAATGTCCTAGACTAAACCCTGTTTCTCGGCAATGGTGCTCCTCTTCCCGATAGTGCCAGCCAGCAACCTTTGCCTAGCACCACGTCGCGGAAGCCCTGACACACAAAAGAACCCTTCAAGTGAAACTAACGAAAACCTCAAGTGTAACACAAGAGCTCACATAATGCCAATATTACACAGTATTTGCGGGGTTGCTTACTATAACTACAGCAGAATATACCCGAGAACCCGGTTCTAATCATGAGGGCCCCGATATGGTAGAACCCTTACAGTAATACGTATTGGCACCCCTTGAGAGGAGCCGTCAAGAGAAACCTTATTCTAATTCCTACTTGTACTTGTCCAGTATCCTAGGGAACTAAAGCTAAACCTTTCGGAGCATATTGGGAATATAAAGCGATTATAGTATCCAAAAACTCTAAAGGTTACCTACCCTACAACTAGGAATTTAGTACTAAAACCCTAAACCCTAAACCGCTGAACCCCTAAACCCTAAACTGCTGAACCCCCAAACCCTAAACCCCTAAACCCGAAACCCTAAACCCCTCAACCCCAAACCCTAAACCCCTTAACCCTAAACCCTAAACCCTAAACCCCTACCCCTAAACCCGTAAACCCTAAATCCCTAAACCCCAAACCCTAAACCGAGCCGTAGGCTTCTGGAAACCCCTCTCCAAGCCTAGCAACCCCAACCCTAAACCCTAAACCCTAATCTCTGGATCCTAAACCCCTAAACCCTGAACCTAAACCCTAAACCCCAAAACCCAAAACCCTAAACCCCCAAACCCCAAACCCTAAACCCCTAAACCCTAAACCCTTTTTTTTGAACCCAGGCTCTTTGCAACCCTAAACCCCTAAACCCCAAACCCTAAACCCCTAAACTCTAAACCCTAAACCCCTAAACCCTAATTTAGTACTACTGGACTTTTCAAGCCCTCTCCGGGCCTGGCAATGTTGCGAAAGGCGGCCCGGATCTCCTTCCTCGGTGAGGGTCGGTGGTGGATGTCTCGGGCGTTTTGGGGGGGCGGTTTAAGGGTTTAGGATTTAAGTTTAGGGTTTAGGATTTAGGGTTTAGAGTTTAGGGGGGGCCTTAATAATTGGAATAGGGTCTTCGGGTTCCTTAAAGCATACTTATAATAATTAGCCCCGAAAAAATATAGGTAATTATTGAGGCCCCCATATTACGGCTTTCGAGGTTTAGGGTTGAGGGCTTAGGGTTTAGATGAGTTTTGGGTATGTGATCTTTTGTGCCACTTGGCAGGAGCGGTTACAAAGGTGGGCTCCTTCTCACATCACTTTGTCGACTGCTTTGTCCCAACGACCGCCACTTCAGTTCAACCGAAAAAGAAGCAGGCGAGCAGATCTGAGCAGGTATAGGGCGAAAGCTCGATTGCTTACCCACAGCCGGCCCTGGGCCCCCCCATTAGCCGGTGAAGCCCAAACCCAAAACCCTGAACCCTAACCTCCAGCAAACCTAACACCCTAAACCCTAACCCTAAACCCTAAACCGTGAACATGAACCCCCAAACCTCAACTCTTGGCTCTGGCATTCTCACTTCCTGCCTGTCGGCTTCCTCTGGGTATGGGTGCATGGCAGTAGCTTCACTTTACAAAGCCAGTTCAAGGCTTTGGGTTTAAGGGGTTGGAGGTTTAAGATTTAGAGCTCAGTTTTCAGGGTATCGTTCTTAAGCCCTAATTAACCTCCAATCCTCGCAACCCTCACGCATCAACCCCAAACCCTAAACCCAAAACCTTACTGGCCCCACTTAAGGAATCTGGGTGCCTAAGCAAGTAGAGACTTACGCGTCGTAGCCACGATTATCATTCCCTTATATTCGCAATACAGATAATTGATCCTAACCCCAAAACCCCTAACCCCTAAACCCGAAACCTTAACCTTTCTTACTGCGCGCACTGATCGCCGAAGTAGAAGCTGAAAGGGCGCTCCATAGGCAGAACAGAGGCCTGACTAGTTCGAGTAGGGTTCTGGGTTTAGGGTTTCGGGTTTCGGGTTTAGCGTCTGGGGGTTCAGGGGTTTGGGGTTTTTGGGTGCAGGGTTTAGGGTTTAGGGTTCAGGATTTCGGGTTTAGGGTTTAGGAGTATACGCTACTTCTAGTAAGGGCCCCGAGACTGAACCCTAACCTTGAAAACCCCAGTAGATCCCCTACAGGAGCCCTTTCATACTACCCTAAACCCTAAACCCCTAAACCCTAAACCCTAAACCCCCAAACCCTAAACCCTACACCCTACACCCTACACCCCCAAACCCTAAACCCCTAAACCCTAAACCCCTAAACCCGTTCCTACTGCGAAACCCTGCGATGGTTCTGACCGAGGATCTTGGTGCACTCCGGGTCATCGATGCCAAGGAGATCAAAGGGCTCCTGACGGTTTATCTTGGGCTTAGGGTTTAGGGTTTAGGGTTTTAGGGCTCAGGGGACTTTGAAATTAGGATTGATGAGTGAGGCAACTATACTTCCTTGTACTAACCCCAATTAGGGTAGACCTTACTTACTAACTCCCGCGATTCTTGAGGTAACGAAAGGATCAGGGGACGTAATTCGCAAGTAAGCATAATATAGGGTTCTACATGGGTTCGACAAGAGCTCTCAAGGAGTTCTTTCAGTGTCCTCTAAGTGCTCGTGGGCGTTCTATGAGGGCTTTAGGTCGTATTTAGATAGGATCCGGGGGCTGAGTGGGAGGGTTTCGGGTTTAGGGTTTAGAGGGCTGAGTGTGATACACGTACAGTTTTTGAGGTTTCAAGTCCTTACAAGCATAGCTACCTTACGTAACAGCCCCACTTACTGCGTTCCCTGATCCACTGGGCAGCTGTAAAAGGGCTTCTAAAGGTGCCCCAGTAAACCAGTAAAAGTTTCTATACGGGTTAAGGTAAGTGTTAGTGTTGGGGTTTAATGTTTAGGAGTTTAAGTCTCTAGAGGTGTAGGGGTCTACTAGGGAGATGTCTTCCAAGGCTCTACAGACCTCAAATTCAATCTGCGACTTCATTCCCAAATTCTCCCGTGTCAAAAACAAAATAACTCCTAATCCAAAGCCGTAGCCTTAAAGCTCCAGGCTAGACCGGGCTGAACCTCACACCCCCATGCCGAAAACCAAACCCGAAACTGCTGAAACCCTGAACCTCACCAGAGATTCCAACCCCCCAACCCCAAAGCCCCTTTGAAGGCCGGGCAGCGGAGTCTACACTCATGGGGTTCAGGGTTTAGGTTGAGGAGACGAGACTTGAAGCTCAGGGGCTTTGAGGCTCAGTGAATCCCCTCAGTTCGAAGTGTCTCAGAACCTACAGCCCGAAGCCTCTTAGTTTCGGAGCGTCTCAGTGTGGCTTAGGGTTTAGGGTTTAGGGCTTAGAGTATAGAATTTTGGGTGCAGGATATTGGGGAATCAAGGCTTTTTTTTTTTTTTTGGGGGGGGGGGGGGAGGGG